CTCCTGGGTTCACTGCCTGGGCCTGCAAATTGGCCTGACTGAGGAAAGATGTTCCACAAAAAGAGAAACCAGTTAATATATGCAGTGATGACCAGCTCAAGGGCAGCTCATGTTTACATACCATCTTAACCTAAAAAACAATAGACCTGCATTGACAAATGCAGTGACAAGATTCAGGAAAAGGACATTGAGTTTCTAGGGGCAGCAAATTGTGGGAAGGTAAATATATAGGAGAATTAATGGAAAATAAGAGTCAGCTGTGCTGTTTGCTATGTAGATTCTCTGCCATGTTCCTGGGCTGGTAAGTGTCTAGAGTTATCTCAGATGATGAACTTCTATCCTTCTGAGTGGGAGGGGACAAATTCATATCAAGTTTTAGGGAAATACTTGGAGAGCAAAAGAACTTTTCTAGTATCTGCTATTTCTCAATTGCCTTCAGTTCAAAATAATCCTCATGCCAACGTAACTATTTGCTGATGTTATATTCTGCTCTCCTTCATAACATAAATCATTCCTTTCTGTTTCTTCATGAAATGAACTGCAATTTGCCCTTATGTAATTGCTGTTTTTCCCCTCTGAATAGAATATAACTTCTGAGGCAGAAATCACCCTGATACTCTATTTTTTTTTCATTGTTTTAGTCTGTAAAGTGTGTGTGTGTCTGTGTGCAGAGATGGAGCAGGCTGTGATGAGGTAGATGAGGAGGGAGAAAGATGGTGTGACATGATTTCAAAGAATCCAGTTCTAAAACCCTACATTCAGATGAAAAACTGATTACTGTGAAAGGTCCTGGCTGTAATGATGACAGTTTTAAACAGAATGAGGGAAGATGGTGAAATCATGAGAATGTGAGGCTTGTCATTTGGAACAGGCTCCAGTTACTTTCAAATGCCCACAATGGTGCCAAATACCCATTTCCATATTAACTGAGCTCTGAGGTCATAGTCTGTCTTACTGAAATGGGATTGTATCAAACAGAATGTTGAGAAGCAATCTCTATTATTAAAAACAGGGCAGAATTGCTACCTGGTACTCAACCAGAATTAAATGGAGTTTCGCAAAGCTAAATAATTATTGCTAAAGGAACAACTTGAAATAGTATTGCTCACCAAAATGCACTGTATTTACCCAGCAAGGAGGGACAATGAGAATCGTTATATTTAAAATTAGACTTTGGAGTTAAAGTTACTAATTTCTGTCATCTAAATAGTGCAATTATTTTTTTTTTTTTTTTTTTTTTTTTTTATTCAGTGCTTGGAATTTTATTCAGTGCTTCACAAAGAGAGTGGTGAGGAGTCCAAAAATTATACCTTTAAAAATGGAGCGGTCAAGTGAACTGTGGATGCTTAAATTTAAAAAAAAAAAGGGGGGAAGGTGGGGAAGCATGGTAGCTGTCATCAAATATTTCAAGTGTCTATATAAAGAGGAGATGGTTGCACCATTACATTGGTGAGAAGCAACTTATAAGATTAAAAACAGATTTTCTGATGACAGAGCTAAAGCCTGTAGTAGTAAGCTACTTTTCCCTAGAGTAACTTATTTTTTTTTTTTTTTTCAATTTTATGGCATTTTTTTTTTTTTTTTTTTTTTTTAATATCATCAATCTTTTTTTTTTTTTTTTTTTTTATTAAATTTTATTTTTATATTCCCCCATACAATTGCAAACGCCCCATTCTGACCCCAATCCTTCCCCTCCCGCCCCCCACCCCCCAAAAAGTGTCTCTGGTTCATAGTTTTTTTGTTGATTTTGATTTTCACTTTCTTATATTCATTTTCCTGGTCCCTTATTTAAGTTTTCTAGATTCCTGCTATGAGTGAGACCATCCGGTATTTTTCTTTTTCTTTTTGGCTTATTTCGCTGAGCATGATCCCTTCCAGTGCCATCCATGTTGCTGCAAATTGCATGTGTTTATCTTTTTTGAATGCTGAGTAATATTCCATGGTATATATGTACCACATCTTCTTGATCCAGTCATCTATTTTTGGGCATTTGGGTTGTTTCCAAAGCTTAGCTATTGTAAACAGTGCTGCTATAAACATAGGAGTGCAGGTGCTCTTTGGAATTGATGTTTCTGTGTCCTTTGGGTAAATACCTAGGAGTGGAATTGCTGGATCATATGGAAGCTCTATGTTTAGTAGGTCCAGAAATCTCCACACAGCTCTCCATAGTGGTTGGACCAGTTTGCACTCCCACCAACAGTGCACAAGAGTTCCTTTTTCTCCACATCCTCGCCAACATTTGTTGTTGCTAGTTTTTTTAATATGTGCCATTCTCACTGGTGTGAGATGGTATCTCATGGTAGTTTTGATTTGCATTTCCCTGATTACAAGTGATGTTGAACATTTTTTCATATGTCTGTTGGCCATTTTCATTTCCTCTTCAGAGAAGTTTCTTTTTAGCTCTTCTGCCCATTTTTTGACTGGATTATTTTCTTTGTTGTTGCTGAGTCTCATCAGCTCTTTGCAGATTTTTGTGATCAGTCCTTTATCATTAGTGTTGGGTGCAAAAATGTTCTCCCAGTTGGTGGGGTTTCTCTTTGTTTTTGTTATTGTCTCTTTTGCTGTGCAGAAGCTCTTTAATTTGATGTAGTCCCAGCTGTTTATCTTTCTCTTCACTATCACTGCTTTGGGTGATGTGTCTGTAAAGATGTCTTTGATGTGCAAATCCCGTAGTGTTTCGCCTATATTTCCTTCTATGTATTTTATGGTTTCAGGTCTTATGTCTAGTTCTTTAATCCATTTTGAGTTGATTTTTGTATATGGTGTGAGGTAGTGGTCAAGCTTCATTCTTTTGCATGTAGCGACCCAGTTTTCCCAGCACCTAAATAGTGCAATTATTAATAGCTCTGTCACATTTCTATTTCAAACAGAAATAGATACATCATCCTGGCTGAAATGAGGAGTCACACACATGAGAGCATGAGAAACAAATCTAAGCCAGTAATGAAGGGAGAATATTTTTCTGAAAAGCAATGTGATTTGCAGACCTCCTTGGGGATTCTCAAGGGTCTAAAAATGATGCTTAGGACTTTCTTGAGGACATGAACTCTGAGAAATTTATGGAATTTCTGACATTTGCAAATTGTAAGGACAAAAGTTTGAATCTCTGAATGTGTCCTAAGATCCTCTGCCTCTCTGTGAGGGACTTGTATAACAGAGTGTTTATAATTTGCAGTGCCTTCTCCATGACCCCATTCCGAGTGCTCACTCACTTCCCGTTCCACCTCCCCATCCCAGACATGGCACAGAAGTAACAAGGCTACGATGAAGTTTCCGGCTCTGACTAGATCAGACAGTGGATGGCATCTATCTTATATAATAGGTTAGACATTTGACAGCTACCCTTTTGGAAACTGTCATCCAAGACTGATTTTTTTCCCCTCTTCTATGTCTGTGGATGGGAAAAGAAATCTGATGCTTATTAGGGATATTTAAGGAATGACTTACAGGAGACTTTCTACAATTTAACGTCTTTCTAGCCTGCTGGGACCCTCAGAGATTGACCGACTTTGCTCAGCTAAATATATCACACAATGTAACAAGCACGGGACAGAGATGCAGTGCACTTTTTATTTTTTTAATTAAACAGATAAAGTACAGACACTGGGTTTATTAGTTTTCTAAAGAGACAACTTGACTTTCAATAAAGAATTTGTTTTTAGAATGCAGGTTGGATGATTATTTTGAAAGAACTATGGTTGGACAATTATTGTAAAATAAATGACAATTATTATAAAATAAATAAGCAACAAAAGCATTTATTTCTTTTAAATAAACTTTTTCAGAGTCATGATAATTCAGTTTCTGGTTTTCATGGCATTTGAACTTTTAAAATAGTATTTCTTTCCCCACTCCTTGTAATGAATTGAACAGCATTTTGTGGGGGCGGGGCAAAGCTTATTTTAATAGTCTCTTACCTGATTTGACAAGGCCATGTTTGTCTTAAAAGCATTATATTGTGATGTAATTATTTTTCCTCTAGATGATAGAAAATAATTTCATGTGGTATTTAGCCTAGAAACCTTGTGGAATTTTGCTGAAGAACCCCTATCTTTTTTTTTTTTTTTAATTGTTTAGTGAGTCTCCAAGTCCCTGTTTGTTTATTTTATCCTGTGCTCTCTCACTAGGTATGGGAGTTGAGAAGTTCACTAGGCTTCTTTCTGGGCTCCTGCCTTTGGAGCCTCCTTGTACATATGTCCCCTCATTCCTCACCCAGTCACCAGCCTGAGCTAGGTTTGCTTTCAGGTGCCTCCCTCAGCCATGTCCTCCCTGGTCCCAAGCCCCCAAGGGACACTGCCTCCAGTATCTGGACCACAGCAGCTTCCATTTGGGATGGCCTTTCCCTCCCCCACTAGCCTCATGCTGACCCAAGCAGACCGTGGTCAGATCCTCCGCTGCTGGGCCCTTTGTCTGGCACACCCCCTCCCCCGCATGCCTGGCCAACCCCCCAGCCTGCTTCCTGGGGACAGTCTGGCACCCCTGTGGCCTGAGCAGCATGGGCCTCAATCTGGGCATCTGTGGTCTTCCTGGGTGCCTCTCTTTCTCTAAAGCCCTATTGGTTTTATAATATTTCCCTAGCTGCAGAAGCTGGGAACAAAACTCAGAGAACTGAATCTCTTAAAATTGCATTCTGCCTCACTCAGATGGGTCTTGATCGATAGCACGCTTGATTAGCTTGGGCATCATGCCACAGCCGTGGCCTGCAGGAGAACGTCGGCGAGTACTAAGTTTTAAAATAGAATCTTAACGAAACTAAAAGAAAAAAAAGTATGACATTCGTACATAGTCCACCCTTAGGATGAGGCAACAGAAGCGCGGGATGTGCCTGGGTTTGTGTTTTGCTGGGTTCTGCTGTGGAGGGGAGGCTGGATGACGCCTGACTTGGCAGGTCTGTTCGCTATGCGGAAACCCATGGCTATTTTTCCCCTGGGGAGGTGCAGTGTGGCCTCTGGGGTGTGTGCTCTGACTGACTTGTGACAACCCATCTCTCCTGTCTCTCAAGGGAAGCCATCAGCCGCATCTGCGAAGCCGCCCCTGGTGCCAAGGGAGCCTTCAAGAAGAGAAAGGTACTGCCTGGGCTGTGTCTACCTGTGTCTTCTCCCTCCTTCCTTCCTCCTCTGCCACCACTGGCATCTCAATCACCAAAACCTTTGGTTGAGGCTTAGCCTATGTTCTGGTCAGCCTATGGGGGACAAGAAGAACCAGGTAGTACTCCAGATTCCAAGTACAGGGGTTAGGAGGGCATCTGAGAACAGAGATGGGGAACCTTCTCTTTTAGAGTAGGTAGTACCTACTAGAAAGTCCTGGAATTCCTTATGGTTTTCATAATGAAAATGGTGAAAACAATGGCAATTTCTGGACTCTACCACTTGGGTACAGAATATCTGGAATGCGACCCAGGCATTTCTATTTTTAAATATTCTGATAGGAGATTCAAAAACAGTGCATGCCTGGTTAAGAAGAAGTGTTAATTAGCATACCCAAAGAGGGTAAGTTCTAATCTGAAAAGGAAGGATGGGGCAGTCAGCAGTGGACAGAGAGGCAGGAGTGGGCAGTGCCCACTCAGGTACCCAGAAAGAAGATGCCTGCCTGGAAAACACCACCTGTCAGTTCCTGTACCAAGGACATTTCTGATAGATGATGCATCAGTAAGAGCTGAGCTGTCTGGTCCATCCATGCTTCTACTGGCTCCAGGTCCATTGGATTCTAATGGAACCATCTATGTGAGGACCAGCCTGAAGGATAATCTGGCTAGAGGATTTGTGTTCTATTTCCGTCAGAGTTCTCAGGACTCCATGGGGTTGCTCATCAGCCCCATGAGCTGGTCCCTTTCATTAGAGGATGAGTAATATGATTCTTCTGGGATGAAACATGATTCTGAGCCTGCAGAGCTACAGGTAGGCCCTTGCCAGCGACACTTTCCCCAGGTTTAATCCCCCATAGGACACATCCATATGCCAGAGGCTGCTTCTGACACTCTGCGAGGGTCCTCATCTCAGTCTGTGTACATCAGACATTTTACAATTTGATTATTGCACATTCTAGATTTTTCAGTTGCCTGTGAATACATAAGGAGGGCGGTTGGGTGAAGCAATGGGCGTGTGGGAAAGAGAAACTGCATAGAGACTGGGACAGTGTGTCCTTCAGTGAGTCAAACTCTAAACAACACTGCTTGATTTCCCAGCCTCCCAGCAAAATGCTGTCCAGCATCTTGGGCAAGAGCAACCTCCAGTTTGCGGGCATGAACATCTCCCTGACCATATCCACAGCCAGCCTAAACCTGCGCACGCCAGACTCCAAACAGGTCTGTAGCTCTGTCCCCCAGGGCCACGCCTGGGAGTTTCCTGGGACCTCTCTTCCAGCTGTAGTGGATCCCCGTGGAGCAAATCGTGTCACGTCTTCCCCAGTCTGCAAAGTTTGGTCACTTCCAAGGGTTGCTCACCGAATGATAGGAATTATTATGCTTATAACCTAAGTATTTACATTTAATTATAATACATATACATAATTAAAATATGATTATATATATATAATTCTGCATAAATTACTTTTTCTTGAGGATAGTGCATGAAATCACTGCCCTACTCACAATGTGAAAGGGCAGCCTATGCGTGCAGGCGCCTCTTCCTGTCCTTGTCCTCCCTGGTGTTCTCTGACACCTGGCGCTTTGGCTTGGCAGTCCACATTTTCTCACCTTTGAAATGGATGACCGGTGCGGTTGACTGGCAGTGTTTTTCCATCAGTGGTTCATTATCTGGGCTTCTCGGTGTTGTGAGTGTCGTGGGGCTGTGGCCTGTGACAGGCCTGCGTGGGCCGGCTCCTTGCTGACAGCGAGGCCGCGTGCAGAGTGGCTGTTAGGCAGGCCGGGCTCCTCCGAGCTGTCTGTCTTAGGTTTCTCTGAGGGTTCATTCTTTCAGCTGGAAAAGTGGGTTTCTGAGTAGCTGTCCTGGGTACCAACAGGATATTCTGAAGTCAAAGAAGGGGAAATCCTGGGGACTTTAATGGGGGGTGGCCTTCAGCCCGGGGCTCCCTTGCTGGCAGTGAGCTGGAATTCAAATGTGTCTACACAGCAGAAGACAGGCAATGAGCTGACTTGTGAATGACACACTTCTTGACTCTGGAAGTGGGTTACCAGGGAGCATGTTTACACTCACTGATTTCCATAGTTCCAGGCAGACAGTCAGCAATGCCCACCCCTCCCCCACTTCATTTATTCCTCCAACCCCAGATGTTGAAAAAAGTTCTAGATCCTCCTCACAATACCTGAACAGTCAGCCTCACTGTTTTTATTCATTTTATATATTCAAGTTTTCCTGGATCCTGAGTAGTTTTGCAGGTGCAAACTGCTGAAGTAGGCATTTTAAAACATTTTACTTTATCTTATAATTTGGTTAGACTTTTACTTCTACTTTTACAGAAGCACCGTTAGAAAAATCCATTAGACAATAGGATTAGGGCTTTTACTCTCTCCCCACAGGCCTGAGGGGCCACTCACAGATGAACCTGGTTATATTGGGACAGAGACCAGAGTGCTGTTCCCACCCCCAAAAATTTACTTCAATGTCATTACATTGTCTTTAAAAAGATAAAAATAGCATGGAAGATGTATGTAGCTTTTTAAATTTAGGGCAGCTTCTAATTTACTCAGTGTCTATTAAATTCCAGTGTATGCTGCAGTTTATAATGCTAATGGAAATTTCCCATTTTAAAATTAACTTGGAATGTCCTCGCTGGCTCTTGAATTGATAAATTAGAAGAGTGCCCGAGATAGCACTGATTTTGAGTTTCGGATGCAGGCTTTCTAATTTCTATGCGCTTGGTACAAATGGGGTAACATGGGGGACACACACACTTTCTCCATTCTAGCTTGGGATCTATATCAAAGACCCCACATCTTTGGAATTAGAAATTGCACATCTAAAATGTTTTGGTGTAGAGAGAAATGTTTGGTGAGACCTGCTTTCCTTTATAGAGTTACATGGATGTTAAGACTCCTCATCTGGCCACAGCCCATCCAGGTGCTCACTTTGGAGCCTGGAGCAAGTGACTCCTCCTCTGGGTCTCAGGCTGCTCATCTGTAAAATGGGATCAAGGTAGTTCCTACATACATCACAGCCTGTTGTGACATTCTAGTGTGCCAATTCTGGCAATGCAGCTAGATGGACTGGTGACACACGGCTGAGCCCAATAAAGGCTGTATGTTTTTGTTTCTTTCATAACTGCTAGTTTCAGATAGGTACCTCTTTGACCAATTTTCAGGAAACCTTGTTGATTTGTATGTCTGCCAGCAAACAGTTGGTTTTCCAACACATGGTGTAGTAATAACAACACCTCCCTTCTTGTTTGTGTCCGGCAGATTATAGCAAATCACCACATGCAATCCATATCCTTCGCCTCGGGGGGAGACCCGGTAAGTCCTTGAGTTGTTTGCTTTTTCTTTGTCTTGAATTTCTGAGATGGGTCCTGCTTCATAAATGCTTCTTAAAACACTACAAAGAAAGTAAATTATGATGCCAACTACAATATTTGCCCCCTGATTTCATAAATTGCTTCTGGGTATCATTTTGTTAGGAGTAACCCAGAACAAGGTGCCCACCATCCTTCAAGCCTTAGTAATGAGTGTCTTCCTAGTTTTCCAGAGCTACCAGGTATTCTCATCTCCCGACTCTTTGCGTGCCCTGCTTGGTTCCTCTTTTTCAGTGGTACCTCTGTTAGGTAGGCCCTTCATCTTTATATTTTAAGTCGACTCAAAGGCTGAGAATTTACTTAGTCTGGTTTATTCATAAGTATTTAAAGTTGGCATTTTTTCCCTCCCAATTTAGCTCTGTAATCTTTTAATGGCTTGCTTTGCAAACAGAGAAGGAGCTGCAGAGAGAAGGAGAGAATGGAGAACAGAATGGGAATATTCTATAGAAGGTGGGCTGACCAGGGAATTTGCTGCCCTGGTTGGTTGGGAATGCTACATCATGATGACATGGTTCAGTTTCAGTGTTCAGGAATGCAGGACCCAGAACCCATGCCTCTGCTGGCAGGGCCAGGGCCCGCTTGCTGTTGGCAATCTGAGCCTTTGAAAAAACTGAAGCAGGAAGCCAGTGTCCAGGGAACAAGGTACAAAGGGAATTGGCAAGAAAATGATATCAGCCCTTTGCAGCAGTGAGTGGGAGAAAAAACTCACCCTGAGAATGTTGTCATATTATTTTTTCTTAGTCTGGGTAGTTTTCACCAGTCCAGGGAAAAATTTAAAAATTAGGACAACAGAGTTTGTTTTTCTTAGAGTCAAATTTACTCACAAAACCTGTTCTATATCCTAGGAAGATGTCCTTTTGTGTTAAGTAGCCTTTTTACAATAAAAGAACAGTGACTTAGAGGTGGCATTTTCTAATTATTGTCTTCCAATCAAACCCACCCAATCTAGAGATTGTATCTGTGGAAGAGGCACATTCCCTGTTTGCACCCCACTCCCTTTGCCTATATCTCTATCTATCTGCAACTGCTAACCGCCTGCCCAGATCTGGGATCCCCAGCCCTCCTTGTTCTCAGGGCTATTATCTCAGTGCCCAGAGTTCTTTCTCATCTAGCAAAACTGTATAGTCAGACAGGAGGCCTCCCACTAAGGGCAAAAGTCCTGGCATGTGGAACATACTGGGAAACCAGTATCTGCTGCAAACAGCAGGCAGATAGATATTTGAATAGAAATAATGTGCTTTGACCAGCTGGAACAATGGAGCTCTCTAGGCAATAGTTCCTGGTCACTCCACCCTAGCTTATATCCTGGGATGCATCCCCCACAAATCTACACACCCTGCATACTTGCCCCACCTTTGTACTAATAAATGCAAAGCTGCCATTGGCTTCAGGCTGCACATTACTTCCGGTGTAGCCACTCTAGGCTTCTCATTGCTCCACATGGACTTTGAGTAATCTCTCTCATCCTGTGCCGCTCCCAAAGCTGCTGCTCTGTGAGGCGACAGGAACCATAGTTTCTTAAATTTGGAAGGTAACCCAATGTGAAAAAATAAAAGGCAGCAGCAGCGCACACTTACATCAAGAGCTTGCCTCAAACCTCACCTGAAGGATGGAGCTAGGAACGGGGAGAGAGACCTGGAAAGTGGAAAGGCAAAGCACAGCACACTGGTTGGTGTTTGGAATTATTTTATCCTCCAAGATGTCCACAGGACAGTGAACTGCTTCTGGACAGAAAATGTCATGTTGCCAGGGGATAGGAAAGCTGGTTACTTTCCATTTTAACCAATACAAGTGAATTCACATTATGTATGAGTTTCCAACTGGTCTGTAACCAATTCCAAACTAGTTTATTACCATTATGATTAATAGATGTTTTAAATAAAACCAATACCAAGTTCTATTTGTTGTTCTGCTACAAGTATATATGTCACTTAGAGAGTTGTGCCTCAGTTTACCAGGTAAGAAAATGCTATTTTGAAATGTCAAGGCACATTGAAAACACTGTTAATCCCTTAACAAAAACCACAACACTGACCATTGCCTATTATTATTAGTGGGGTTACGTGATCACCCAAAGAATGCCAGAATCTTGGTCAGGCTCAGAAAGTCAGGGAGAAAGAAAAGAGTCAGATACATACAGAAGAGACCCTGTCTTTGGAACTTGGACGTTCACTGTGAGGCTGCGTGATGTGAGGAACACGGTTCTGAACAACAGTAACTCTGCCACTGTGCCTGAGAGGGCTAGTGCTGGCTTCTGAGGGGCTGTCTGAGTGATGGTGACACATCACGTCTGTTTCTGGTCTCGCTTGGAGCCACAGCAATTTCTCAGGCTAGAGTCACAGCTTGAAAAAGAATTTCCTTGTCTATGCTACTGGTATTGATGCAAATTCATCCTGTTACTCAAATACATTCGCAAATGAACTATGTACAGGCTTCTTGTGTTTGTGCTTTTTATTGAACTGTGAGCCCTAATCACATTTTGAAGTTAAACACTAGTAAACACAGAAATGCAGGAACTTTCCAAGCGACATGGTTACTAGGATGGATCAAGTTTTGCTGAACGGAAGCTCTGCTCCTAGTGGGACTGTGGGATTGGCCGCCATGGTGTGGAGTCTTCCAAGCTCAGGATCTCCACTGCCCTGGGCACCAGACAGTTCTTTCACAGAGCTCTGCTTTTCAAGTCCACGCTTCCATCATACATCATCGTGCACAAATGTGACATTAATTTGCTTCACGTGAGCCAAAGGCATCTGGTCTGACTGTTCTTTTCTCATTCTTTAAAAGCTGGCACCCATAATGCTGAAAACCCAACTGCCAATCTTGGCACAGAGATTGCATGACACAGCAGTGGTTCAGATGATCCTGGAGATTCTCGCATTAATTTTATGATTATCATGGAAACGAAGACACAAAATTAAAAAGAAATTCTGGTGACATCTCAGATATTGGAGAACATGCCTGCCCAACTCAAGTGTTCCATGTATCTCAGTTTCAGAATCACTAGTATTCCCTAAGAACCCTCTGATATTAGCATCTCCTAAAACCAGAAAGTGTCTGTAATTACAAGTCACTATCCAGATTTTTGCCAATACCTTCAGAGTTTAACTAGATTTTTCCTTGACAGAAATGACCAGAAGCCCAGGCCATTGATTGGTTTGACTGTCTCCCACTCTCCTTCCAGAGTTAGCCTGTAAATGAGCCAGTGACAGTGGCTGAGCAGGAAGAGAAAGCAGCTTAGCTGGGCTGCATTCTGCAGAATGGCGGCAGGGAACACCCCTCCTGTCGAGAGAGTTGCTGAAAGTGCCTTTCCTCCCCGATTTCCTGGGTGCTTGTGAGGTCGGGGCTGATGTTCAGAAAGGGCCTGGCACCCCACACAGTCCTCATTCATTCTGCCTTTTCCCTTTGTTTTTCTGGAGCACAGTAGAGAGAGGAGGGGTCTTTCTATTGCCCAAAGTGAGTAGCAGTGAAAGAACTTGGTGGAGAATCTTTCAGATATTGAACACAATGGCCTTGGAACTTTTGTATCAAAGCAGTAACTCTTGGGAAAGAGCTGTCACTGCAGAGATCTTGACCAATTGCCCCCTGAGCTGTTTTTGAATGTTAGAAATGTCAACTTTTCAGGGAAGTCTTCCCACTTTCAAGAATTAAGAGAATTATTGGCTCCTCTGATGGCTTTGACACAGAAATGCACGTGCTTGCTGGACCCATATGAGGTCACAGTCTTCCCCCAGCATTGATCAGATGGGAGGCTGGCAGGGACACGCAGACCTGACACATGCGGTGACACTTCTACATGGATCCCATGGTCCTGAGACACCTGTTTTTATTTAGATGAAACTTTTATTTCTGTTTATAAAGTTGTGACTGCTCATTGCAGAAACAGGAAAACACAGAAAGAATCATGTTAATCATGTCACCAAAAGATGGTATGATTATTATTTGGAAATAGTTTTTAACTTATTTTTTAGCAAAAATTAGTCAAGTTTTTAGCTAGTGGAGGAAAGTTGGCAAAGATGCTTGCGAGGCAGTGGATGCAGGGGTCAAATGAATTTAAACAGTTCAAGGGGAGAAACAGCAAGACCTCCCCCTTTAACATTTTGTAGCAACTTAAAAGGATTAAATCACAATTTCTGTCCAGGAAGCAAAGAACTCTTCTATCCCATCCACCCATGAGGGGTGTTTGTAGCCAACCTTGGACCAGCGAGTCTGAAGTTCCGCCAAGTGGCCCTAGACCAGTGGCAGTGTCTCCTGGAAGCTGGTCAAAATGCACATTTTGCGTCATTGGAGTGGGGCTCAGCAATTTGTTTTAACCAGCTCTGAAGACATCCTGAGGCCAGCTCAAATGTGAGGGTTGCTATGTAGACAGAGCTGCCCACAGGGTTTTCAATCCTGGTTCTTGTTAGAGAGAGAGCTTTTGAATGTCCCAGATGCTTAGGCTCCATGTTCAATCCCGGTCAGTCAGATTATCTGGGAGTTAGGATGCAGGCGGCGGAGTTTCAAGCTCCTGAGTAACCCAGTGGGCAGAGGACGCTGGCCTTCAGGTCCTGGCTGCTCAGAGGATGGATGGACGGAAGCGCCAGTGCCATGGGCCAGCTGACTGTAGATGAGGAACATCAGGCCTGATCGGACCTGCTGTCTCAGCACTTGTGTTTCATAGCAAGCCCTTGACTCCTGCCCACTGCACAGCTTGAGAAACTTGATTCGGGGGACTGGCGTTGGGCATATTGCACTGTGTCCGTCTGTGCTATTGTTTGTGATAGTGACACAGACACCTCATTTTTCTTTGGCAGGACACAACAGACTATGTTGCATATGTAGCCAAGGACCCTGTTAATCGCAGAGGTAAGCAATGTTTGACCCTTGTCACCTCTTGTCTGTACATAGTTGGCTAAATATTACTACTGGATACCCCTCATTTCCTCAACCCCTTCACCAAAGTGAGCATGTGTCATGTCTTACTGGTAACCATGATTGAGGTGTGCAGCAGTTAAGGGTGGCACACACCTGGCCAGTTAGGAGACACTGGGCGACTGTAGTGCAAACACACACATGCCCTGCTACACCTGCTATAGTTCGGGCAACCTGATTTGGATCCTGCAGCCCCACTCATATTCTTGATATATAGCCCCTTGACACATGGAAGTTTTCAAAAAACTTCCTGTCCTTCTGCCTGAATCCAGCTCCTTATTGCATCCACTGCCGACTAAGCCACCCCAAGCTCATGCCATGTTTCCTTATACCCCCAAAGCTGCTGGGGCCTCCAACACAGATTAGGTCGGGGACTAGAGGCATAGACCCTTCCTCCACACCTACCACCCCATTTCTTTGATCATTTATAAAATAAAAGCTCCAACCCCAGGATGCTAACAAGGGTGGGTGCAAACATGGGGTGCATTGCCCCTGAATTCCAGTCAGATTAACTGATTCATGAGCTGGCTCTGCTGAGATCTTTTCTCTGTGAGGGCCCAGAAAGATGTTTTTTTTTAATGTTGGTGTGATCCTGTCTCTGCTCATTCACATCATCGCCGCATCCACAGGACCCTGTGTGTGCTCACCCCTACTCTGTTACCATTTCTCATCTCCTATGACACCCCTAACTTCCCCTCTGACTCCACTGACCTCTGACTTGGGCAAGCATGTGCCTCAGGGTTTTGTACCAGCTGGGACCCCTACTTGGTGCATTCTCGCCCCAGATCTTCCCTTGGTTTATTCTCTGAATTCCTTGAGGCTTCTTCTCCAATGTCAGCTTCTAGATGGCCTTGCCTGGTCATCCTTATCACTCTATACTCATCATCCTCTGTTGTCCCCTTTATTGTACATTTTTGTCTTCATGGTTGTATGTAACAGACATGTTTTATCATGTCCTCATGACTGCTGTAACTAATTACCACAAACTTTGTGGCTTACAAAAGAGATAACAACCAAATGGTATGCTGTCATTAACCAGAGTTCAAAGCCCCTGGGTCTTAACAACAGGTGCAAGAACCTGGGTAATTCTTCTTATTCAAAAGCCAAAGAGAACAAATTCTAGCTGTGACCCTGTCTCAACTTAAGTCCTCTCAAAGTGCTACATTTATTGCTCTACCACAACTTGAAGTCAAAGCTTACATCAGATTGTTTGAGATGTTTTGACTGAGGAATTGGCTTAAGGAAAGGGTCACTATGGATTCCCACCACCCATCTTGGAACTTATAACATCTTAGGCAGCTTGTACCCAGGTCCTCATTGGAAGTGAGTTTTTGGTTCTCTCTTGCCCTGGTTTCTTCCTAACTTCCATCCCTTCTGGCACAAATGCCCTGGTTAGCAGAGCAGTCTATCAAATAACAGACACCTAAAGATCCTGGGTAAAAAAACCTAGGATTATACCCAGCTACTTGTAAACTTGGTATAAAGCCAATTTATTGAGACAAGAAAAGGAAACTCCTTATCACATAATCTATACAAACGAAAAATGAAGAGAGAGAAGACCATACCACAGATGTTGTAACAAAAAACCCAGAGAACGATCTCAATCCTATAGAACTACAAAATCTGCCTGATGAGTTTAAGTTAAAAGTTAGACCCATGCTTTGAATTTAGAAAAAAAAAAAAAAAAGATGATCAGAAACTGAAACACAGTAAGAGAGAAAACATGACATTGCTACAAATAGAATTAATGGAGCTAAAAAATGTTATAACTAAATTAAAAAATATGATCGAGGGTAAAAGGTTCGGCGCGGTAAAGACAAGGAGAGCCAGGCTACATTTCTCAAAGGGAGGGAAAGTTTATTGCACCCCGGGCGGACCTCACGCACCCAAGGTGAGGGTCAGTGAAGCCGCGCACGTTGTTAGGGGAAGCAGGGTTTTATAGGGTGAGGAGAGGTCAGGTGGGTAGTTGGGCTCCTCTGGCGGGAAAAGTTTGTGGGGCAGGTAGAGGTTCTTTGTCTGAGATGAGACTCGTAGGGGGAGGGGGGAGGCTCATTGTCTGAGTCCTCCAGGCAGGTATCCGCATTCCTGCCCCCCAGGTGGGCTTCCTGGTTGGCTTCTGCATTCCGGCCCCCTGCATGGACCTTTCAGAGGGCCCCAACAGTAGGCAAATACAAGCAATGGAGAGAATCAGAGAACTTGAATGCACAGTGGCAGAGAAAACACAAATAGAACAATAAAATTAAAAAAAAATAAAACACAGTATAAGAACTCTTTGGGATAATGTAAAGCAAAATGATACCATATCACAGGGGGCCCAGAAGGATGCTAGAAAGAACTTAATATAAAGAAACAATCACTGAAAATTTTAACTCAAGAAGCCAGATATCCTGATCTGTGAGGTCCAAAGAGTCCCCCCCAAAATAATACCAGAACTGTGCACTCCAGGACACATAATTGAACTGTTGTGAAGGGGAACAGAACCTACCTCAGCACCCTTGCCACCATAAAGCAGTCACAGATTGCTCCAGGCCTCTGAGGGCCCCTGCTCTGACTGACACCCCTAACTTTTATCACACTTTAGCAAAACATGCTTTTCTGAGAACCTACATGAGTGTCCAGTCTCAAAGTAGGCAAGGTGCAGGGAGTTGTGGGATGGTCACACTCATTAATGAGGTTGCTTTAGACTCATCTTTGTCAGGAAGGGTTCCTTGCAGGGGACCTGGGAAGTGTCAGTGTCTGTCTCTAACAGGCCCATGTCCCTTGCTCTCAAAGCTTGTCACATTCTGGAATGCTGTGATGGGTTGGCCCAGGACGTCATTGGCTCCATCGGGCAAGCCTTCGAGCTCCGGTTTAAGCAATACCTGCAGTGTCCTTCCAAGATTCCTGCTCTCCATGACCGGTGAGTGGCACAGTGCCCTTTCTGTGTTTTACTACCTTCCTTACACTCAGAAGGAGAAAACCACAAACTGCCACCCCAGGTGAGCTCTTGATAGATGCCATGAGATGCACTGGGCTTACTAAGCTTTCTGGGCTTGGGGACGCCTGGCCTGTGCTAGCCCAGTGTTTTCTGGGCTTGGGGATGCCTGGCCAATGCTGGCCTGGGGCTCAAGAAACGGACATTGGTAGGCAACATGTGGGCAATGAGCTGAATGTTCAGAAAAGCATTTTCTTGAAACTATAGTGATAGTAGCCAAGGTTACACAAAACATTGTAATATGTGCTCGTTCTGGCTCCTCTGTGCACGTGATAAATCCACATGTCGCCTCCTTGGGTCTGCATCATGCAGGTCACGCACTTCCCAATGTCCTTGCCATCGTAGTCAGCCCGAACCCGACTCAGAGCCTCCCTCGGTGAGGTCCTGTACTCGGGGCTGCAGTGACCCTTTTGATGTGCTGGTCTCTGCGGCCTCAGAGCTCATAGCCTTTTCTGTGGTCCTGAATAATTCTAATCTGATCTGCATCTCAGAGATTTTCTCTGTAAGATAGGAATAAGTGTGGTTGGGCAGTTTTAAATGTTAGGCGAAATAGTAAATAAGAACAAGATTTATAAACCATTTAGTTTATTACAAAAATGTTCAGGGTCTACCATTGAGTTTCCTAAGGGCATTAAGAATATTTCATGTAGCATCAAGCATTAAAAAGGAAGTAAAACAGGTCTCCTGCCTGCCTATGACTATGCAGGTGCCTCTACTTTTCTCCTTTTCCTAATAAACCTATCTTTTTAAAATGCAAAAAAATTAAATTAAATTGAAAGGAAATAAAATGGGCATATTTAGTATTCAGTACTTTATCCTTGATAGAATTTGCATAAGAAAAGCTTGCTATCTTAGTATATTTACTGTGAATAAAACTTTAGTTCTCCTAAATTTACATTTCCCTTTTCCCTTTTTCCCCAACCTCTAGAGTCACATTCTGTGACTTAGTCCAGAAGCAATATCTGCTGTTGCCTTCATTAGTGTGGAGGTTTTGTTATAGAGCAACCCCGATATTAAACGGGTTCCTGGCTGTGGGTCCTCACCCGCGCGCTTTAAAGGGACTTATGAATACTCTACTACAGACACATGCAAAAGGTTAATAAAAGGTTTATTTACAAGAGAAAAGGAAATAAGGAAAATGTACAACTCAGGACGAAAATAGGGAAATAAAGTCTTTAATGCGTCCTACCCAATCCGACGACCTGGAAACCCCAAAGTCACTCTCAGAGCTGACCGGACGCTGCTGCTGGCCAAGAGCCCAAAAATGGAGAGCCCCCAAAGCCCACGTGTCTGCCTTTTGTATCCACCTGGCTGCTTAACCCCACCCTCAGGTCCCAGCCACCTTCCCTTTGGTGGTGATGGGATTTGGAGTTCCCAGTGTCTTTGGCTTTGACCTGGGGTGGGGGTGGAGTCCACAAAGCCTATATGGAATTTGCTTTGGGACATCCTTTTCCCCCTAACAGTTTCTGTCATCTCTTGGAAATTTTCACCTGTCTTGAAAGAGACTTTATTTTTGTCTTTGTTTGCTGAGAGCGCTTGTCTTTTGGTCGTGGACTGGGTGACACAGATGTGGGTGAGACCTGTGGGGAGGTGACCATGGCAGCTTTTATCTTGATGTTGATTTTGCTCTTTTCCTTCCGGGCTTGTCCGGTTGTTTGTGACCCTTTTCTGTGGGTCCCCACTGGAAGATGTTTTAGACTTGTGGCAGGCTTTGGGGCCTTGCTCTGGGCCGACCCCATATGGATGGACTTTTACCCACGAGGGGATGGGTAACTTTGGGTGCTTCATTTAGAAACTAGACTCTTTGCCTCACCTGTATTGTTTCCTAGTTTTTATTAAAGTTCCTTCCCATTAAAGTGTCATATGTTTTGTGTTGATGCGGCGGATGGCAGAGCCCATTTAGAATAGGCAGGTTTGCAGGGTTTGGGCTGCCCCTCTCCCTGTCCTATAATAATTTGAGTTTATCCTACTTGGGGCTTTTTTTTTTTTTTTTTTTTTGAGAGTCTTGGTTGTAATCAGTGCTTTTCATTAATTTTGGGAAGTTTTTGGTCATTGTTTTTCAAAAGATCTTCTGCCGCTTTCTGTCTCTCCTTTCCTACTCTTCTGCCATCATGGGTTGATCGGTTTCCTTAACGGCATCCCAGAGGTCTCTAGGCTGTTCGTTTTTCTAAATTCTGTTTTTCTTTCTTTATTCATTGTGCTTTCTTCTGCCTGTGGAAACCTGATGTTGAGCCCCTCTAAAGAATTTCTTATTTCAGTTGTTACAGTTTTCAACTTTAGAATACCTAATTGTTTATTTAAAAATTATTTCTGTCTCTATATTGATATTCCCTACTTGGTTAGACAACATTCCTTGGTGTTTAGTTTTCTGCGTGTGGTTTTTTTTTTTTTAATTCTCAGAACATATTTAAAGTAACTGATTTAAAATTTTTGTCTAGTTAGCCCAAAATGTGAGTTTCCCTGGGGGCAGTTTCATTGATGGTGTTTTTCTTATGTTACCATACGCTCTTGGCTTTTGCATGTTTCACTTTTTTGTTGTCGTTGCATGCTTCATATTTTTTTGTTGAAATTGAAAGGTTTAAATAATATAATGTGCCAAATTAGATTTCTCTTCTCCTCGGGTTGTGACTGCTTGTTTTAATGAGTTTTCTAAACTAACACCGTAAAGTCTGTATTTCTTGTCATATATGGCTACTGACGACTCTGTGTAGTTCACTTATTAGTTAACATTATGGAGGTTTCATTAAATGCCTGGGAATGTTCATTCTCCCAGTCTTTGCTGAGAGGCTGTGTTTCTGTCTTGGGCACACCTTGCTAAGTCTCCATTTCCTGCTTGTACAGGTTATAAGGTCAGCCAGAGAGGAGAACTAGGAACTCTTCACCCCTTGCCTGAGCAGGCACACAGCCCTATACATGCACACTACCCTATCATGCATGTGACCTTGTAGATTTCTAGAAGTTTGTAGAAGCTTATTAAAGTCCCTATGGACATCTCATTTCCTATCTTGTCTTTTTAAGCTTTCTGATTAGGCTGCTCTTTGACCCAAATGTTATCCACTGCCTCAGGGAGCTGTGATGTTAAAACAGTTGCCTCTAATTTTTTTTTTTACAAAAGTCCTGTGGAAGAGGCTTATTCCCCTCTAGGCAAGTGCTATATCACATGAAACAAAGATGGCCCTGGGGTAGGGCCTTCTAGAGAATGACCAGATGGTCCATAGACTAACAGTTCTCAGAGATGGGACTTCCAAGGTTCCTCAATGTTGTGCTGCACCCTTCCCTGACTGTCCAGCTGCTGGTGATCCCTGCATATGCTCTGTTGGTTTTCAAGGCTACTATGAAGATTGGAAGGTAAAATGGCAAGATAAAATGCCACAAAAGTGCTATTCTTACAGCTGTTTTTTTGTTCTGTTTTTAATAAATACTCCCTCATTGCTGCAAACATCTGGTTAATTTCCAGGTTTATGAAAAGTTAATTGTGGGAAAAAAAATTTTTTTTGTTAGCTCTCCTGTTGCTTTTGAGGAGAGAGTTTTCAGAGCTCCTTAATTTGTCATTTCCCCTATTACCACTAAATCTCCATTTATTAGTTGATTTTGTGTTGGATAAATTTCATGATTTAGGAAATGTGTGTCTGTGTCTAGGGATCTAGTTATTTTTAAATATAAATTCTTTCTTTCCTAATTAAAATGTACTTTTAAAAAAGTCCTTTCCTGTTTCAGATATGACTGGAATTTCCCAAAGAGTAGAGCTATAAATAAGGCAGACATATTTGACTAAACCCTCATTTGCTTTCCACACATGCCTGAGACCTAGATGCTTGAGGGGTGATAACAGACATTAGAATTGTTGGTTTTGATTGCAAGCTAACTTTTGGCCCCCTGAAAATCCTGATTTAACAGAATGCAGAGTCTGGACGAGCCGTGGACAGAAGAGGAGGGAGAGGCCTCGGATCGCCCATATTATAACAGCATTCCAAGTAAGACACCCCCTCCAGGGGGGTTTGTGGATGCCCGACTGAAAGCCAGACCCCAGGCTCCTGACACAGCCCAGGTAAACTTACTCATTCCTCCTTGGATGGTGGTTAACTGAACTTTATTTTCAGGCTGGTGTTTCAGATAATCTTTGTCCGAATAACTCACAAACTTTCTCCCCTTGGATTTCATAAAGGAGAAAATTAGGGGAGCCTCTTGTTTCCACATCACATGTTATTAGTCAAAATCTTGGAATGCAATTGTGATTCCTGAGGTTTGAGTCTGAGGTTCCTCTCTCCATCCTAGGAAACATCCTATTAAACTGTGATCTTAATCAGGAGGAGAGAGAGTCTGAGGCTTTTTAAATGCTTTGGTGTCTCTGAAAAGAAAGTGGCTATAAGTTTTTAAAATGGTGAGAATTTTGTAAGTTTTTCTATTTAACTCATTTCTCTGATTTTCTCTCCAACTCAAAATACTACTGTGGCAATTTTCTCTAGAGTTATTATATCCATTTAATGTCTACCTTACTGAGTGACAATAGCACCAATAAATGTGGCAAAATAGCATTGAAATCCAGTGTCCACACCTCTGACACAGAATCAACTGTGGGGGCTTGCCTGGGCATGAATGGTGATATGAGGGTGTATGGGGGCGTGTTCTGACTCGTAGGGCTTCTCCAGCTGGAATTTCTTTTTGGTCATTTGAGTGTTGCAGCTGCATTTGGAGGAGCTCAATTTATGGCCACACATAGGGAGGGTTGTGAAGTAGTGAAAAGAACAGGGAGTGTGCATTCTTGATGAGATGCAGCCTCTTCACACCCACACAAGCTTATTTCCCAAATGTTCACACCCATTGTGCTGCATGAAGGGAAATCTGGGTGTGATCAGGAGTGCAGTGATCTCTGTACACTACCGCGGCTCTCAAAGATGAGGACATGAGAACAGAGTGATTTTTTTCCCCTTTATGTGTTAACGTGTGCTTATAGTTTGCAGGAAAAGAGCAAACTTACTACCAGGGACGACACTTCGGAGACCCGTTTGGTGAAGACTGGCAGCAAACACCTGTCAGGCAAGGTGAGAGATGTGGGGAGGCTGGTAAGAAATGAAAAATAGCAAAGTAAAGTGCTCCCCTCCCTCTGGGTCATCTCCTGGGGAGTGGTGGAGTATCCACAGAAATACCTGCTGTCTGTGGGGCTGCAGGTCCCCACATGATTGTAGAGATGAAATAAAGGGCTGTCTGGGATGTCGCTGGTCTTCCTGAGATGATGCAAGGGCTGGCTTGCTCTCCTCAGCAGCCCCTGCGGTCATGCCCCTGGAGACGGTCCAGCTCCCTCCACTGGAGGGATTGCTGGCCAGGGGTGCTGCCCAGGCAGTGACCTCCCAGGGGCGCCTCCATCCATTTCAAACTGGAGTTGGTTGGGAATCTCTGAAGTGTTTTCTATGCTACCCCTAAGTGTCCACCTGCAGGGGCTGAGCCCCTATGTCCTCCAATCTAGTAACTAGTAGTTCTCCCTCTCTGCCTCACTCACCCAGGAATAAATGTGACACCCTCCTCAGGCAGAGATGGCCCCAGGGATACAACCCCTGTAGGGCCTGGGCACTTGGGGAGGATGCTCATAGCTTATCAAAGTATTCATGTGCACCTGCGTCCCATGTGAGAAATAGAGCAGACATGACTTAGAACTAAATGCTAACTGCTAACCAAGGCTTTACCCTCTAGACAGTTATTTTCTACCCCCCCCACACACACACTTGAAAGTTCCATATAATTTTAAACTCGTTCTCTCCTGAAACATTTCTATAAATCTTCCAATACCTCTAGGGCCTGGACTACTAACTCTACAGGGTCTGAAGGAGATGGAGCAACGAGTTAGTTTAATGACTGGAGATCTAATTTATGCTTCTCTGTATATACATTTAAACATTTATTGCTTTAACATTAGGGTTTTCCCTTCACTACAGTGATTTGTGCCAGGAAACAAATAACAATGCATTTGAAAATTTCCTCCTTGGGGAGTTTCCTGGCTTGCCTCCCCCAGCCAGAAGACCACCAAGGCTACCCACTCAGTGAAACAAATCCTGCAGAACTCCCACACGGCATGGCCTCAGAATAGGACAAAGTGGCATGACTTTGCCAGGGACAGTTTTTCACTATGTTTTCACTTCTGTTCTATATATGTTTAAAATTTATTTATATACAGGGGTACATAGACATAAGATAACTGCTGTAGACTAAAAGAGACATTATTTCCATTAGATACTTAATTTTTTGAAAAATTATTCATCAGGCTTATTTTTAAATTTTCAAGTATTGACGTTCTCTGGTTGGATCAAAAAAGGACAATGGGAGAAACTCACCAGAGCAAACATGGCTCTAGCTTGGAACTGGAGACTCGCCACTCTCAATACATTTCAAGGTCTTATTTGAAAGCATTAAGTTCCCTTTTCTGTACAACAAGTAAGTTGTACCGAATGTCCTTGCTGCTTTGTCAGCAGTGAATCCCCCTAAATGGAATTGATCCCAGGTGTCCGTGAGGGGCTACGTCTCCCTTCCTGACTCAGTACCTGCCATTGTCTGCTGTGGGGAAAGGCCAGCATCAGGAAATTATTCATTGGCTATTTCATCTTCTCCTTTAAAAAAATTAGCTTGGAAAGTTCCTTTGCAGACTGACTTGCTGGAACACACAAAGCTGAGAAACACAGACAGTCTGCACTCACCAGGACACGGGAGCCAGGAGCAGCCTGGGCAGCAGCCATCTTAGGAGTAGGAGTGGCCTAGGTGCCGGACTCTGCAGAAGCTGCTGCCCTGCAAAGGGATGTTAGGAGGATACTTACAGGCTGGAGACAGTAGTGTGCCTGCCTGAAGCTGTTCCCCACAGCCTGTGGGAATACATCTTTAAAATTCCCGAGTGGGGCCCCCATGGTGGCTCACAGCGTTAAGTCTATGAAGCAATCCTCAGCTACTGCAGCACAAGTTCAGTCCGTAGCCAGGGAGCTGACCTCTCCTGTCTCACCCCTCAGCAGTGTATTTCAGTCAATCTGCTTCTTCTGCTCCCCACTCTGTCTCTGGTGAATCCTCTCACCCCCCACACCTCTGGCCTGCACCCCAACTCTTGTATGCATAAATAAATCTTTTAAAAAATAAATAAGTAAATAAATATATAAAAAAAATAAAATCCCCTAGTGGACTCTTTCTAGATTGAGAAGCTTCAGCACTGCAATGCCCTCAGGGTGTGAAAGGAAACCTCTTTCCAGAGATGTGAAGGTCAAAGGGTGATCTTGAGAATATGTCCACATGTGTGAGAAACAGGCTATCACAGAAGAATCACATAGTGACCCACATACGTGTTCTCCGGCAAGTCCTCAGTCACCTCAGTGACAAAAGCAGGGACACCACCCCCAGCTCAGCCAGGCCAGCGAGAAAGTCCCAGGAGATACAGGCCACTCCATTTTATTAGGAGAGTATCTCAGTTCATCATGAAGTAACTTTATAAAACAGCCCTTGCACGGCATTGCCAGAAGTCACTTAATTCTAAAGCAGTGACTTACACTTAGCAAAAAGAGCAATAGCAGTAAGACTTGTATTGCTCGGTTATTTATCTCAGGGCCTTAGAAAAAGGGGGTGAAGAGACCAAGGCAGCTTCTCCCACAGCTATGCCTGCTCTGCGCCCCAGGCCTGAATCAGCAAGCCCCGAGTCTTGGGAAGGCCCCTCCCCATCATGGCTGGTCCCCATCATGGCTGGTCCCCGTCGTGGGTGCGCAGGTCTCCTTGTGACAGGAAGGACTGGAAAGCATCCTAACCAGAACACAACAGTGTTCAGAACAAAGTCAGAAGAGGGGAATTGAAGCCGCAGTTTTCTGTAAGCTTTTCTCTATGAAATGCTGGGTGGCTTAGCAACAGATGAAGAAATAGTATTACCATTGTAAGAGATGAAAGGGTTTGTTTTCTTGTTTAGGGTCCTTGGACATCTACAGCATGCCAGAGGGGAAAGCACAAGTGGTCCCCACAGGAGAAGCCCCCACCTATGTCAACACCCAGCACCTCCCTCTGCAGGCCGGGATGGCCTCCGGCAGCAGCGCAGAGAGCAGCCCCGCAAAGACCTCTTTGACATGAGTGGGTTTCCATTTGCTTCTGGTTTACTTGTCATTTGAAGCTGCTTTTTTCTGCCTTTTATTTGAAGCCTGTGCAATTACTGAATTTTCTGCTAGTGAGGTTTGGATTAATGGTGAAGACTATCTGCCCATTTCTGGATCATGATTGAGCTTTTCAAAGCTTTGAACTTGGCCAAACTCTACTTTGGGATTTTTAATCCTTTGTAGTCAAGAGGCGAAGTAGTTTTCTTCTCTTTTTTGGAAATGATTTTCCTCCTGAATATCTGAAAATATGTCATGACAAACTATATACATAAATACATGTACTCGCTTGTTTAATCATTTAAATATTAACTGGCTGTTATAAGCCCAATCATGATCAATTGCTCAGGTCGCCTGGATGAAATGGCATGGCCCCTGTTTTCTCGGAGCTCTCAAGTCTGTTGAGCAAGACCAACACATAAGCATGAAATTGCATGCAACGCTTCCCCGTGCGTGCAGTACTCGCTCTCCTGCACTTTTTCTCACATTCTCCCTCTCCCTCTCCTCCTGTTCCTTTTCATCAAGCTCCTATACCAGTAAATACCATTTTACTTGTTGGGAATATACACAAAAACAAAATAGACAAAGTCTGACTGTTCTGAAGGCACAAGGCTTCCATAACAAAATGTTCTGGCAGGCAGTGACCGGGGTCTGATGGAGAACCAGGAGAACCAGACAGGGCGAGGAGCATGGTGGGAGCTGCTGTGGGCAGCAATGCGTGGGATGTGGCCCCCGACCTTCCGTTGGTTGCACAGATTGGGAGAATCACACCATTCAGGAACAGATTAGTAGTGCAACTGGAAGTTGTTAAGAAATTTTGAGAAAGCATCCCAAGTTCACAGAGAGAGTCACATCCTAAAATTTCTTTTGCAAATTCCTGAAGAGTTTTATTGCTGAAGAGGGAAGGAAAAGGAAAATAGCATTTAACCAGCTTCTACTGTGTGCTGGGCACATTGTTTAAGTTTTGCAAAGGTCCTCCAGTTGGATACTGCTATTATGAGTGTTGTTGCTGTCACTATTGTTATCTCTATTTACAGAGACGGAAGTGAAAGCCCTAGGGCTAGGTAAAGGCAAACTTGCCCTTCAGCACTTGCTATTTGTTGTGCTGTATTGAGCAAGGCTTTTAGGTTAGGCAGCATCATGACAGCAAAGTCGTTTCCCCTCAGTCACCTAGGTTTTCCAGACACTGGCTTCCTGTTCTGCCTTAAAAAATTGCCAGAGCCAGAATAACTATAGACCCTCAGTGAAGGAGATGCCTTAAAGATCACCTTATTCAATCCCTTCACTTAAAGGTGGACACAGCCTCATGTGGATCAGCTTTCCCAGATGTAGTTTCTGCTTCAGTTGTCACAATGTGTACCAAAGGTGGACTAATAGTGATACTTAAAGTCAGACAGTTTTCACTTTCGTCGGTTTACCAGCGATTCCTGGCTCCTGAGCCAGAAGAGAGTTAAGTTGGGCTGAGTTTTGAGATGGGAAATGAGAACCAGAACCATAGATTTCTACTCCTGCTCCAAAACCAGACAAGGGGAGACAGAAAGTAGAAAGGGTCTTGGAGAGGCTAGTATCTATCGGAGAGTATGGAAAAAATAAATCAGCGCTCTGCGTGGTTTATCTTGAATTACTAGAGCTAAATCATCATGGTGATGATGGTGGTGGTGATGGTGATGGTGGTGATGATGATGTTAGTGAGGATAATATAAATTTTCAGCTATTTCAGAAAATCTGGGGAAAGATAGGATAAAAAGATAAACATTTGTTCCTCCCCAAACTTGCCAAAGATTTAACAAAAGTTAAAATGAGCTAATTTTACTTCCATTTACTCACTCTACTTCTGCCCAT